GACGGGGGTGGGCACTGGGTGAGTGGGGCAAAGCTCGGCCCCTTCCCTGCTGGCTGTGCCAGATGGGAAAGGACAGGAGAGCCCCAGGCCTCAAAGGTTTGAACCAAGTCTTGGATTTTTGTCGACCAGACGCACTGTGGAGGAAAGCAACAGCTTTCGAGAAGGTATTTAACCCACCTTGTTTTTTAAGCATAAATAGATATATAGATAAATGCTATCTACGCCCAGATCAGTTAATTTCCAGTATTGGCTACTTTTATCCTCCAGAAATTGGTACTATTATTTGTATTTAAAGAAATCCAATATTTAAAACAAAGGACATTGCAAGCTCCAGCGAGCTGGCCAGGCTGGAGGAGACAGGGAGCAGCAGCTCAGCCCGAGGGCTTTGAGACCCCGGGGCTGCTCCAGCCTCCTCCAATTTGGGGTTCCCAAGGTGCTGGTGTCACCGCGGTCCCCACCCGTCCCTGTCCCCCCGCCGTGGCCCCTGGGCACCCCTGGCTGCTTGGCTTCTCTAACCCAAGGAATGTATTGCCCTAAGTATATGTATTTTTTTGGTTTACTTGTTCCTATGTACTGCCCAGCACTTTAAACAAGGCTTTCCTCGGCTACAGTGACACGTGCGAGCTAAGAACGGGATAATATATCACAAAAGCAGTATTTGTTTGTTTAAATCATAAACTGAAATGGGCAGTGAGGAGGCGAGCGCAGCCCCTGCTCAGGCAGCACCTTCCCTACAGCACAAAGGAGCTCCTGAGGGAGGTTTTTCGGGGTCCCTGCAGCCCTGCCCCCTGGGACTGGCCGTGTGCTGGGCTACAGCTGCTGGGCTACAGCTGGGCTGTGCCACGGGGCACCCCCAGCTCACAGCACGGGGGTGCAGAGCAGGGCCTGGGCCCCCCCCGGGGTCTGCGTTCCCCTCCTCAGCCCCATTTCACCTTATGGCTATTGTAAGTAATTTATATGGGGTGTGTTTGGTTTTTAAATGTATATATTTTTGTATGTTTGCTATATTTTCATAGCATCGGTACCGTGTTTGAAACATGTAGATAGGAGACAGAATACTATTGTCAGAGTTATTTAAAGGATGTATTAAGTGCTTCTTCCTGGGAATGTCCCATGTATATAAGGATTGGGTGTCTGTGTGTGTGTGGTGTGTGTGCTCCCCTGGCTGAGGGTCGGCCAGGCTGGCTCGGGGCAAGGGGGGGAAGCCCCCAGGGGGTTCCTCCGTGTGTTCCAGAACCTGCTCCAGGCTTTGGACGGGCCAGAGGGTGGAGGGGAAGGCTCAGGTGGGCAGTGCTGCAGGGGAGGTGCCTCGGGGTCGGCTGCATTGTGCCTCTGATGCTCCTGGAAGCACCTTCCCATGGCAGGGGAGACCTTTCCAGGCAGAGAGAGGGGTCTCCTATGGCACTTCCATCGCTCCATCACCTGCTGAGCCTCCCCTCCAGCCCCAGCTGTGCTGGATACTTTTTAAGATTTCATTCCATGATCCATGTGCTTTCTTGGCCACATCCCATCTGGGTGGCTGCAGGAGGACCGTGGGTACTCTGTGTTGGCTTTAGGACAGGTCTGAATTACCTTTGGAAAACTCAGCTGCTGTGCAGGACAGATGCTGTGGAAAGGTTGCAGAGGGATGAGGGCAGGAGAAGAGAAAGGATCAGTTAAAGTGAGGTGGTGGTTGGTCAGTGTGGAGGTGTTGGAAGAGCAGATGGCACAGAGAAGTAGAAGTGTAGAGGGGAAATCCAGTCCTGGTAACCAGGACACGTTGGTAATGGCAGGAAAGGCAGGTGGGAGATGACAGAGAAGGTCAGAGGGAGGATCCCAGCTCAGGGGCAGGAGGTGCCTGAAGCAGGCAGAACCAGCACTTAGTGGCTGAGCCCAGGGCTGGGGCTAGGCATTGGTCAGCTTTGTGCTCCAAAAAAACCCCTGGTTTTCAAGCCAGAGATGTAAAACTGTTGGCCTTGGATTTTTTGTTCCTCTAGCTTCCCAGGCAGCACAGCACCAGGCTCTGCTCTGGCACGTGTCCGTGACGTATTTGGTGACAATGCCAGTGCAAGCCCCAAATGCCCAAGGCAGTAACAGGGGCAGTGGTGAGGTGTCCCAGGGACCTGGAATGTGTCCCTGCAGCTGATCATGGCACAGGGCTGGAGTCACATCCAGCTCCTAAGCTCCTTGCTCCACTCACAACTGCTCCAGCACAGCCACGTGGGTGTAGATCCAGAATCCAGCCACCCCCGAGGGTCCTGTGGGAATGTTTAGTGATTGAAATGAACCAAATGAACCAAGCAGGTCTTGGAAATCTCTTGAAGAGCTAAAAATTTCAGTTCACGACCAGAGTTTAGTTCCCAGCTTGAGTATCCTCATTAAAAGAGGTCGGTGGTGAAGTGCAGGAAGGAGAGATGGAGGCAAGAGGGGTGAGCAGGGGGCCCCATCTGCCTGGAGCAGCCCTTCCTAAGCTAAAGGGGAAGCTGTAACAAGGCCACTCCCCAAATCCAGCAGGAGTTTTGTTCCCAAGTGCCTGTTCCTTACTAAGCTTGCCCTGTGTGTGTGTGTGACTTGATGCGTGTGACTTACCAAGTGCTTCTTCTAATCAAAGAGGAGCAGAAATGGGATCAGACAACTGCCCTCCCTCTGTCCTCCCCTGGAAGAATGGAGAGCAGCCTGCCCCCCCCAGTTGTTTCCTGAAGAGCCCAAGCCCTCTGTGGGGGGCAGCACCCACAGCTTCCAGCACTCACAGTTCTCAGAGCAGCAGTTATTTGTTCAAGCATCCCAGGGTCCCCTCAGTGTCCCAGCTAAGGCACAGCTGCAGCCACAGGGACTCAAGTCAGGAGTTACACCCTCACAGCAATAAACCTGACTTGCAGCCCTCGCCAGTGAATCCCCCTGAATGTATATTTCTGTGTCTGTAGTCACCAAGAGATGGTTTCTTATTTATTGTCGTGAATCTCACAACGCTGCATCAGGATCAAGCTGCTTAAATGAAAAGCAAAACCCCGATCCATTAGTTCCAAGGGAGAGGGAGGGACTTCTCTAAGTGCCTTTTTTCTTTTTTTTAAAGAACAGTGATTGTGAACAAAATGCCAGTGGTTCCTGTTGGGTCAGCATTTCACTGCAAACAAAAACGGTGTGTTTTGTAACTGTGGGGATGTTTCTTAAAAACTGACAAGGTCAAATAAACACTGACTGCTACAACCTGGCTTGGGTGGTTTTGTCTCAGTCCCTGCAGCCCCTCATTGAGGGGGAAAGCAGCTCCAGCCAGAGCTGCTTCCCCACCCCTCTTTGTGTCCAGAATGTTAATTAGGGTCTCCTGCACAACACAAGATGCTTTCTCAAATCCTCCAGCCTCTTAGGGCAGCTCTGGGCTGGCATTAGTGATATCAGCTCCTGCTGTCACCTAAAGGAGACTGGGCCAAGGCAGAGTGTGGCTCCCGGGCTCACACAAAGCTGCCCTGGCTCACCTGTGGTGGGCAATGCCCACAGAAAAGCCCCCTCCCCACTGCAGAGGTTACCTGAAGCTGAACCACAAGGAATATCCCAGTACAGGGGCTGGAACACAGCCAGGAATCCCCCCTGTGTCCAGCACTGGGAGGTGTGGGGAGTGGTTACAGGAGCAACACAGATCAGGAAGCTGAAAGGGGGGAGGAGGAAGGATTTACATGATTAGGAAACAGCTGGAACCTTCCCAGGCCAGCAAGAACCACTGACCAGACAAATACTTTATTTCCTTTACGACTCAAACACTCAAACACAACAGACACTTGGTTCCCAAACACCCTGCACAGGCCAGGGGGGCCTTTCTGTCCCCTCCCCTGGTACTTCACAGTCCCATGTGCACATTGCACTTGTCTTCACCTCACTGCTGTCAGCTGTTCCCAAATCCAGCTTCCCAGGCAGGGCCAAAGCAGGAGATAAAGTACTCACAGTATAGTCCAGCTTACATGGTGTCTCCCAGTTGGGTAGTGTAGTGTCTGGTGCCCATCTCGCCTCAAGATGGGCTACAGAATCCCATTCCAGCTGTGCACAGCTGGGCTGGAAGGGCCTGGACCTTTGAGGAGTCCCAGGAGAGACTGTCACTGCTAGTGCAACAGGCAAAACTCGGGCAGAGACAATGCCCCAAGACATGACACCAGTCTCCCAAAGGGGTTACAGGTGCATGGAGAAGGCTGGGATACCCCAGCATTCCTGCAACCAGGGGAAGTTCTGCAGATGGACCTGGAAGTCGAGTCTGGCCTTGGGGTGAACACCTGGAGTCAGCCCTGGGGGTCAGACTGTTCATCCCCAGGGATTCCTGGCCCAGCTCTGCCATTCTGCTGCTCCACCTCCCTGTTTGCTGTTACTTCTGGTGGCAAAATAATTTCTGCTGTGAATCTCTCAAAATGCAGAAAAACCCTTGGGAATTTAAGCAGCATTTTGGGCAGGAGAGAACCCAAATTAACTCTTTTCAGAGCTGGTAGCAGAACAAGTCAGAGCCTGGAGAGTTCACGTGCTGGGAGACTCCGGGTCCAGGTAGGAGCTGGGATTCCAGGGTGCTCAAAAATAGCAATTGGATTTTCAGTACTTCATATTTCGTTCCCAATGAAGTCATCAAAAATCCCACAATTCCTGCACCTTCATGTAAGGATCTGCAGAGTATCATCCTTTGTCTGCTTCCCCCAGGAGCCAGTGTGGAAGGAGTCCAAAGGAAGGTTCTGCAGGGAAGTTCCCAGCAGAGACAGAAGCCTTGAAATACCTCACACCAAATAAAACCAAACACGGTGGGTTGGTCCTCTCAGAGCTCTGCTGGGAATACAGCGTGTCCTCCTCAGGGAAGGCCGAGGCAGGAACATCCAAACCTGGCAGGGTTCAATGCCAAGTCCACATGCAAGGAGCACATCCAGGCCTCCCAAACCCTGTGTCCACACAGGTGCCAGGATCTACACGAACTCGGTGAAGTCGTCCACGGAGGAGATGAGCCGCTTCCGCTGCCCCGTCTCGTAGGTGGGCGGCGGGTCCTGGGGCGCCTGGGGAGGGGGCTTGCTGGGGGCAGAGGGGTGCAGCTGCAGGGGAAGGCCAGGGCTCTGGTACTGCGTTTCCTCCCGGAGCTGGAAGGCAAAGGAGAGAGGTGGCAGCTGACTTTACCTGCCTCGCTGGGCTGAGCCGGTTCCAAAGCCCCGGAGCGGCCGCGCTCACCCGGTGCCG